CCACAGCGGATGTAGCGCCTATCGATGAATGGCTTTTTGGCGCCTCGTTCGTCGATGAAGTCAAGAATCCGCAGGCTTGTGAGAAGGTCGCTAGAGGCCTTATTAAATCTACCCCAGCAGTCGCCAAGATCACCTCCTAGCATCCAGTGAGAAATCAACCGATCTTTGATTTTTCTGTCACGTAACTTGCTACTTATTATCAATGCAAAATTCCTTTCTAATTTCTGCGGTCCTCATTACACTATCTATTGCATTTTTGTTTTTATTTTATTTTGTCGCTACTTATATTTTTTATATTTTAAATGTTTTTCGTATTTTAGATTAAATCTACTACGATTGTGAGAGATAGCTTTCCAGAATATTGTACCATTACGAATTTCTTTAATAACTGTTACCATTTGGATTGGAATAGAAAGTGTTGAATAAGTATAAAGATACGGTCAACTTGAATTTTATTGTTTAAAAATAGTTGTACAATTAAAAATAATTTCCAGTAATATATATACATATACTTTTTAATTTTTTGTAATGAAATTTCTTTTATGTCATGTTAAAATATACAATACTATTACCACTTATGTTTTAATGCATAAGAATGAAAGATAGTACCACTTGGGTTTTATTTGCTAATTTGGTTTTTTTTCAAGACATAACTTACGATATTGATTATTCTAATCAATATACTTGGAATAATATTTTGATTTCACTTCTTTTTCATGTCATTATTTTTGCTTTTTTTGTTTTTCATAAAACAATTTTTTGAGGTAAAAACATTAAAAAATATACTTGGCGGTCTTTTTACATTTTTAATGTCTTTTCCACGGTTAGAATTTTACATATTAAGTGAAAGAACTAAACATTAATCTTTTTCGGTACGCCATACTGAATTTTAAAATTCTGATATCATATTTAGATTTAGCAAGTTAAAAAATCTTAGGATACTTATTTTTATAAAAATCCAACTACTTTCTACTTTTGATCCGTCATATTGGAGCCGCCATTTTGAATTTCGAAAATCTAACATTAGATCTGAATTCCGTGACTCCCAAAACCCATATAAAGCAATTTTCACGTTTAAATACTTTAGCCTTCAACGAATTAATCGTTGATAAATCGTAAGTAGTAAGAATCAACATTAGCCTGACATGGAAAACTTCAAACATGATTTTCCCAACTTTCCCTGCCTATAAAACAGTTGAATTTAACCAATAGGTCAATTAGCCATATTGGCCAATAGGTTTTATCATACTCTAAATGAATTTACCAATTTGAAAGATTTGACCTCCAGGGCAGAAACCCCCCTATACCGTGAGCATCCTTCTTTATGATTGATTGCTTATAAGTTTATGCAATATCTTTACAGACAACTTCTTGCTAGCCGTAAGATTTACGAGAAATTTTAGATAAAAGTCTTACGAATAAACATACATCTTTTACGACACGCATAGAATTACAATTCTTGTCATAAGTATTTACAAATCTTATGAAAACTTACGATTCTACTTAGGATTGAAATAGAAATTCGAGCAACTCATTCAAAGATTTTACACATGATTAAACATTTTTTCGCGATTTCAAGAAAAATTTAAAAGACGGAAAGTGCTGCTCTCGCTTTTGTGTTTTTTAAACAATAATACATTTGCAACATGTATGAAGAACGATTCGTGATGCATTGTAGTAGATTGCTATAAAAGTGCACTTATCGATTCTGGACGTAGCGTTGCATTTCGTGTATGCCAAAAGATCGTAAAAAATTGTCATAATCAAAAGTACATTGTTCCTAAAAAATATATATATAATTGGTCTATTATTTTGTTTTTATTTTTTTATTTTTGTGAAGAACCGCTTTTACTGTGGGCAATTTCTTTTTTTGATAACTATTGTAACTCACCCGATAACAGTCTCATTCATGCATGCACTGGTCATCGTAATTAGACTAGTGTTCTCCATGTTTTGTTGAGGTGTATATTTTTTGCCTAATTCTCACTAGCATGTAACCATCTTACTCTTTCTTTTTTTTCCTCACGTTTCGGTTTTCAGTTGGTGATTCACGGTCATTTCTAGAATGAAATAGAACCGGGAAGACTTCTCGTAATTCGTGATCATTATGTTTTTCTCGTTTTTTTTTTAATTTTACCGTTATTCAATAGACTCTTTCCGAAAAAAATTGAAGAGAGAAGGAGTTTGTAGTTTCAAGAGTTTCGAGATCTAGATACCAATATAGATCTGTTAGAATAATAAAATAAAATTTATTTATTTCAAGTATACAGAAATTATAGAATCCCAAGAAGGAAACTTGGTTTACAAAAGTTGCTTAATTCATCTATTTATCCATCTTTCTTTTAATTTAATAAAGCAAAATCTAAAACATCTATTTATCACATTTACTAATTCTGTAAACTATAGCGATTATATCGTTACAGTCCTCATTTATAATAATAAAATTCTGTGGAAATTCGATAAGAATACGAAATAACTAATAGTGTTTACGCTGGGGCTCGCCGACCCGCTCAGCCGTTCGGGCGCGAAAGAAACATAAATGTCTCGAGGTAGACATAAGAAATAGTTAGGTCCTTTGGCACATAAGCCGGAAAGTAACAATGCGTGAACGTTAATTCGATTTTTATTGAATTGAATTGGCCTGCCGCGGCGTACAAATTAACAATACTTAAATGTACGCGCCAAATGATTATGTAAATCGTAATCGTAAAAATTATTACAATCCATATAAGCGCCGAAAAAGAAAAGGCAACATTATTAACGGCTGGCAATTTAACAGTCTTCGCGTAAATTATGCAAGTCACCGAAGGTTGTCGGAGACAGGTCGGGCGACCGACCAGACAACGAAATATATTATAATTCGACTAGGAGACGCGGTTTAGCGAGCGGACGTATTTTTCTCGTGTATGACTTAAATATTATAATATTACTTCAACGCAATCGCACTTAAAAGATTGACTTATAAATCGATCTGGTATATTCGCATATCCGCTCCTAATTATTCCAGCCGCAGAAATAAAACTTCTAATAACAGCAAAGCCTGCACAGTCCTACACAGCTCGGATATTTTTTTTATATTCTACGATAAATTCTCTTATAGATATCCTATCTCTTTTTCCTTATTTTCAATTATTATTTACTCTTTGTTCCAAATCGATTCCTCCAATTCTCTTATCAATTCCTTTTCGCTCTTCAATAGATAGTTAGTATAAGACTGAATTAGTAGTCCATACGTGCTTCTGCTTAAGTGTACTTAAGTGTCTTCTCCCACCCCTACTGATTGTGAGTCATCTCTTCCCTCTCTGTTCCTCGTGTATTCAAGTTCTCGCGTTTTCTAAGTGAAAACATTAACAAGTTAAGATTTGGCCAAACTAACGAGCTTATTTAAACGAGGGTGACAGAGTTTTTTATTGAAACAAAATTTCTAATAACGATAAGCGTTACATAAAAATTAAAGATCAACGATAAACGTGGTACATGTTTCGACCTAGATTGGTCTTCTTCGGTCTAATTCATCGAATAGTAGCTACTGATAAAATATTATACAATAAAATGTATATAAATTAATACGTTACATCCGTAGAGTCAAATTTGATAAGAATGTGCTACAATTACAAGAAGTCGTCGATGTAATGCGATTAAAACCTTTGTTCTAGCACGATTTTATTGTCTGGTATATGAATAATCCAAAGGAATGATCGATTAGTTGATAATGCCGAATCGAAGCTTCCAGAACAAATTTTAATAATGAGTGAGAAAGAAATTGAATACGTTTACTCTATTTGACATATCGAACAGTTCGATTTTAATTTCTCTCTCACTCATTATTGAAATCTTTGTTCTGGATTTTTGGAAGCTTCGATTTGACTCTATGTACTCTGACTTTAAAAATAACTTTTTAATCCTTGCTTTTCAATCCAACTGATTGATCGTTCCGTTGGATTTTTCATATATCAGACAATGAAATTGTGCCGGAACGAAAGTTTCAATCGCATTACATCGACAAGTTCTCATAATTGTATCGTTCATTCTTATCAAATGTGACTTCACGAATGTAACGTTCGTATTAATTTATATATTATTGTGTAATATTTTATCTATAATTACTATTCGTTGAAGTGACTGAAGAAGACCAATCTAGGTCGAAACATGTACCACGTTAATCTTTTTTATGTATAATGCTTATCGTTATTGGAAATTTTTTTTCAATAAGAAACGCGGTCATCTTCGTTTAAATAAGGTCGTTAGTTTAGCCTAATCTTTATTTGTTTGTTTTTCACAAGGATGAGCTATGCTTAATTTGTTTGAAAATATTAATTTCAATCACTTTACAAAGACGAATTACTATGAAAATTCAAAGAAAGTGCAATCTCGCAGCATGCCTATCGTGTCGCACTTCAAAAGAAAAGGAATTTAAAAGTAATAAATACAAAACGTATATATTAAATATTTTAAACAGAATCTTTTATAAATTTTTATTTTTGAGATAATATTATAGGATTGTTTGAAAAAATTTTTGCGATGCTTTGTAAAATATTTTCGAAGAAATTTAAAATTTATATAAACATGACACATTTAGATGTATAAATTTATTTTTAAGCAATATATTGTGTTATTTTTACACATGTTCGTGGCTTGTTTTATATATATTGGATTTGTATTAAATATATTTTGCAAGTACAGAAATGACACGTTATAATACTGATCATTTTTTGAAGTATTAAAACTTAATATCATAAACGCTCGGAAATTGTTTATAAAATCCTCCAAGAATCGAGTCATACTGCGATTGCACCGTTTCAAAGCTATTTGTAGAGGATTGTTAAGACTCAAGTATTTTGATAAATTAAATGATGACGATTCGCGAGTTCTTTATATTAAATTTCTTTTAATCCTTTATTAGCTCTACATGTTTTTATTTCGACGGAGCCTATCTACAACGATTAATTCCTTGATTATACTTTATTCTGAATAGTAAAGCTTATAAATATCGAATAACGAAATGTTGCGAAATTATACAGATAACTTGCAGTATCGATTTATGTGTCAAAATTTAAAAAAAATGTTTGAATTTCAATACAATTTGGCACCTCTTTTTTTGTTACTGAACACGGGGTCAGAAGTACACATTTTAAAATGGCGGATCTAATATGACGACATAAAATATTATATACATTTTATATGAATAGAGAGAATTGATGTTTTATTTTTACGAAAAAATTAAAGAAACGCTAAATTCTAATAGAAGCTGCAAAAAATGGTAAAATATCTACACATTGTAACATTTTTATAACATTTATTTATTTATAATTTTTACGTATACAAATAAAAAAATTTGTTCAATTATTTTCTATGTTTATCTCTTGTTTACAACATTTTATATTTCATCAAATCTTAATTATTTTTTATTAATAATTATTGATGTAATAATTA